GTTAAAAAAATAACCACAAACTAAGGCAAAAAAAATCAGATTTACATTTCTTTGTTGCTTTGGAGTTGTATATACAAGTGTTTTTGCCAAATCGGATACAATAGAATGAGGCTGGAAAGAATCGGCAGGTGAAACATGAAGAGAAACTTTGTTAATTCTGTTGGAAGGAAACATGGTTTAAGCAATGAGGGCGGCGGAAGATTTATGAGAAGAAATGTAATGTAGGGTTTTCGGTAAAGGGTTGATTTGTTATATAGCCGAAAAAGCTTGTTTAGGTAAATGGCAATGAAATTTTCCGTAACTAGTCAACATATGTTTAAGATATATATTGCGTATGAAACACGCGCTCTACATTCTTTCACTAAGATTATATACTATATATGTGCTACATAGTTAGTCAACATACCTTTCTAAATAGATATTGCGTATGAAATATACGCGCATCATTCTTTGCTAAGATTAGATACTATATATGTGCTACATAATTAGTCAGCATATTTTTTAGATATATATTGCTTATGAAACACACGAGCGGCATTCTTTGCTTAGATTAGATACTATATGTGCTACACAACTAGTCAACATATTTTTTAGATATATATTGCGTATGAAACACATGAGCGACATTCTTTGCTTAGATGAGATACTATATATGTGTTACATAAGTAGTCAACATATTTTTAGATATATATTGCGTATGAAGCAAACATGTGTCATTCTTTGCAAAGATTTGATACAATATTTATGTTACATATGTAACTCAGTTTGATGCAGATAGCAAATGCTTTATAGATTTTATTTATTCGACGCAAATAGCAGAAATTGTTGGTTGTTCAAAAACTAGAGTGTTATAACTAGCACTAGCGCATGGTTTGAAAAGTATTATTCGGTAGATGTGAGGAATTAATCAATGTTTGAATATAGAGAAAGATATCTATTATGTAAATGACTTTTACAATACTATTAGATTATAGTTCGCACAATAGATGAGTTTTTTTATCTAGTTAACATTTTATAAGAAAATGTGTAAAAGTCATGAGATTTCACAATTTACAAAATAGAATAGTTGATAGTTTTGATGAATACACACAGTCGCAAAACGTTGGAAAAATTGTATTTTCTTTCTTTAAAATCCAATGTATACTCTAAAAGTCTCCATCACAAAAGATTTGAGGAGAGTAGTATTTATTCGATCAAAGATAGACATCTATCCATCCTCATCATATTGTGAAAACCTTTAAGGAATCAAATCTCTTGGTCAGATTCATATCCAACCTCTCACGCGTCGATGTGCGATTGTTTTACATGCGCTAAAGAGATTTAATTCCATATACATTTCTTTATGATAGTTTATTAGATATTTATTCGTTTGGCAACATAAAAAGATTCTAGAAAATAATCACAAACTGAAAGATCAAACACCAACCAAAACAACAGTTTGATATTAATGTTAGAGTTGTAAAATTGGAAGACATTTCTTTGTCCCAAATTATGTAGAGCTATATGAGAAGTTTCAAAGACTAAGAAACGAAGAAGAAAGTGACTTCCAAACTCAATTTAAGATTACAAAATCCATCATCCATTGACACAACCAAGCACCACAAATCAAATTCAAACAACAATTCACATGCCTAAACAATATAACACATATTCAAAAAACAAAATTTTTGAAAGTTAAATCTTAGAGTTATTATGTCTAGGTTTAAGTCTTTAAATTCAAAATTTTATAATAAGAACCAAGTGAATTATCAATAAGAAAAGATAAAACAACACAACCACTTCCAAGAATTCACTCGGATATTTTCTCGAATATCTAATCTATAATGTATATTCAATACTTTCTTATATTTTAGCAAAAAACAAAAAACAAATTCTTATACACTTTTTTGGTGGAGGAGAATATTACTTTTGTTTTAGAAAAAGGAAAGAGAATTTCGTAATGATAAGTAAGCGTAAAATCGGGCTTAGTCCTCTCCTTTTCGTTCAGAGGGTCTGATCTTCTCGGGTTTTGAGTTTTGGATAACAAAAACAGCAATACCAAAGGATAATTCGAGTGTCTAGTCGGGCTTTTAATGCTTTTTGGAAACATCTATCTGGGTTTCTAGGGTTTGTTCATCATTTCTCTTTTTTCGATTTCTCAGCTTGAGCTTTTTCTTGGTGATTTCGGTTGTGAGCTTGGGGGAAGAATTTCTGAGATCGTTTTGAGCAAAGGGGTTGTGTGTTTTCAAAATTTGCGACTGTCGGTTGCGGTTGCAGAGGTCAGATGTCAGAAAAGGTTGAAGATACTTTAACTATTATGGCGGATTTGAAT